TGCACAACAGTAAAAATAAATATAACTTCTATCCTCTTAAAACCTGGTAATCATTCAGCTAGAAGAAGGGCTACTGTTTGGCATAGATAAAAATAGTCTCCAATAGTGTCCTGCCTAGAAATAGTCCCAAGCTTGAATTTACAGTGAGGACAACCCAAGGTCTCTCATGTTTAGGAAACCACCAAGCTGTGATGTTGCTTAGCCGGAAGTAGCTATTGTATTACACTGGGACTTACGAGCCCTGAGGGGTCCACACAGTTTATCTGGGGTGAAAGCTCCCACCAAAAGTGCACAATACCAACTTCCCCTGTCAATGAAGCCTTCACTGCATCACCTCCACTGCCCCATCTTGTGAAGTGAGGAAAGTTCTCTGATAGGAGAAATGGAAAAGAGGGAAGAGGGAGGAGTATGCAGGATAGAAAGGGAGGGGAAGGTGGTTTCCATAGAGACCTAGCCTTCCTCATGCTCTCATCAGCCAGTGGTCTAGAAGAGCAGTTTCTGAAGCCACTGGCTTAATTCCACAGCTGCCTATGGAAGCCCCAGGGGCACTGAGACATCAGCTGTTTTTCCACAAAAGAAGGTCCCCTAAATCACCCATGAAGAACAGTGTGCATGCTTTGCATATATCATATACCATCTTTCAATGGAGCCAATATAGCCAGGTGTTTTTTTTTCCATTATTAAAACACATCTCTGTTTCTTGAGCAGCAGATGAAGTAGTTGGCCTGCATCTGGGGCCATGTTTTGTGAGAACTATGGCTGCTGTGGCTGTTGTTTTCTGCAAACATGTGGTTGAGTGTGTGTAAGTTGAATGTGAGTGTGATATGTCTCCACTACAATGCGAAAGGGACGAGGATAGTCTAAATTTGATATGGTCCTAAGGTTAGTGGATAAGCAGAATTACACTTCCTTCCTTCCTCAGGAAATGCTTGGTATTCATTCTGTGTTAAATTGTTTGATTCCAAAGATCTACTGGTTTGCTCATGGCTCCTCTTTATTTTTCTTATCCAAATGCCCTCCTGCGCTACTTATTTGCCCAGGAGAGGTCAACATTTGAGGACTTGGTAAATCAGGTCAGCCTTGGATTTCCATCACAGCTCTGACTGCTTATGTGAGCACTTTATATCACAGAGAAGGAAGTCTGGAGGACAGGACAGAGATAGCTCAGAGAGGTTTCCATATTTACCGAAGCATTATGTGAAAATATTCTCCCCAGCTCCCACTTCTATCCTCTTTAACCACACACATCCACAGAGATGAGCACTGTTGTCATTGATTGTGGCCACAATACCGGGTGGAGGCAGCAAGGCCAATTTACATGTACCCCACCCCGCCCCCACTGAAGAGGCGTGACACAGGCTAGAGGGGAAAAGAAAACACATGCAGGTACAGTAGAACGGCATTTTGCATATTGTGATTTGTCCATACATGTTAATTGAACTGAATTAGGTAAAAGCGAACGCAGCAAATATTTGCCTTGCACTAACATGCTTAGAAGTGGAATTTTGTTGCACTTTCCCTGTCATCTTGCAACATCTCCAAATATTAATCGAAATTTTGCGTTAACTCCAACGTATATTTGTATTGGTATAAGATGGTGTTGTATTGAAAAGATTGGCACAATTTTCTGATCAATTACAAGGCTCATATAGTTTTTAAACCTTACTTTTGAATGGAAGATTAAATACGGATTGGTGACACAATCAAAATTGGAGGTTGAGAGAGTTTTGCCCAGTCTAGATCCTGTTTGCAATCAAGATTTGGGATACTGTTTCAGGGAATTCCCAACAAAAAAGTATGAAATAAAAGCCAGATGAGTGAAACAAACAAAGAGCTATGGGAAAGCAAAGGAAGAGATGGTCATGTTTGTGAGAAAGTTCTGAGGAAATTTTCACAGAGAAGATAATGTGGGAGCAAAGGGCATGGATCTTACTGGTTTTGCCTTACACGGTGCTTAGAGCCAGCTTAACAATTAGCCGATTCTCAATGAGCAGTTATTGAACTTATAATGGAAGGAAAGGCAAGAAGATAAGAAGCAAAGTTTTAATCTTGAGCATATCCATATTTAGAGGGCGGGGGAGGAAAAGGAAGAACACAAGAAGGTTGCAAAGAAGTAAAAGAGGAAAACGGGATAGAAACTCATGCAAAGTATGAAGACATCTCAAAGAGAACTTGTTGGACAATATTTTCTAATGCTGTAGACGGTACTATTTAAAGCGTGATCCTCAGACTAGCGGCATAAATGGCACCTTGGAGCTTGCTAGAAATGAAGGTCTTCGTGCCAGCTCCAGAGCTACTGAATCACAATCTTTTGGGGTGAGGGCCCGGAAGTCTGTTTACTAAGCTCTCAGAGGGATCTGTATGCGCAGCTGGAGTTTGAGAATCAACATTGTAGCATGTTTCTGGAAGATGAGTTGCTGCTGGCATAACTTAAGTTCTCTGATTCTGAGAAGATTTCAAGAATTTGGTTCTAGGGTCCTCCCAGAACTATGTTGCAGGGAAATTACTATACTAAATTGCTAATGTTTAAATTATATTTAAATGGTTCAAGATAAACAGTTTGTGCCATGATTATTTCTTTTTTTCTTCTTTTATTGAAGTATAGTTGATTTACAATGTTGTGTTATTGTAGTTTCAGGTGTACAGCAAAGTGATTCAGTTATATATATATACTCTTTTTCAGATTCTTTTACATTATAGGTTATTACAGAATATGGAGTATAGTTCCCTGTGCTATAAAGTAGGTCCTTGTTGGTTACCTATTTTACATGATTTATTTCTTCAAATCTGTTTTGTAATGCCTCACTTCTATCCCCACCCATACCCCAGCCCTGTGTAGCTGCAGACGCAGGGCGCAGTCCAGGGTGGGAAGAGCAGGTCTCAAGTGCGACTGCGTTTAAAGCGCTTGCCAAAGGGGCTTCCCTGGTGGCGCAGTGGTTAAGAATCCGCCTGCCAACACAGGGTACACAGGTTTGAGCCCTGGTCTGGGAAGATCCTACATGCTGCGGAGCAGCTGGGCACGTGCACCACAACTACTGAGCCTGCGCTCTAGAGCCCACGAGCCACAACCACTGAGCCCACGCACCACATCTATTGAGGCCCACGCGCTCTAGCCCGTGCTCCGCAACAAGAGAAGCCACCACAATGAGAAGCCCACGCACCGCAACGAAGAGTAGCCCCTGCTCACCGCAACTAGAGAAAGCCCGCACACAGCAAGGAAGACCCAACGCAGCCCAAAAATAAATAAATTACTAAATTAATTTTTTAAAAAAGAACATCAATTAATATAAAGATGCAGCCGTTATAGATTTTTCATGTGAACATCATTGCTTTTGATAGGGATCAGGAAAAACCCTTTATAAAGGGGGACTAGTGTAAACATCTCCACTTTGGTCTGGGTCCTCAGACCATGGCCAACCTCACTGTGGTCATTTCCTGTATTGAACACCAGTTCGTGCTCTGTGGTGGTTCACGCCAGGGTGGTTGTTCCAGATCAAGGCTGTGCTCCCAGCAGCAAGGAGTTCTCTCTCTCTTTGCTAATGTGTTTGTTCACAACTCAGACTTCAGGGTCCAGGACCTGCAACAGCCGTCTTTGTGTCGCCCTAGCTAGCTGTCTCAGTGTGCTTCTGCATAGATCTATATACCATACAGAATGCAGTTTACAAAGGTTACTTTACTGTCGGGTCTTGCAAAACCATCTGCTGCTGCAGAGATTAGAACCTGGGGTGGCTTCTCTGTGCTGCTGTGAAAGGAGGTTTTAGAAATCATCCTGGCTTTGGGAAGGTAGAGGAATCTCTCTAGGCTATGAGTTAACATAAGGCTTTCCCTTAACTCTATAGTTTCCTGTCTGGTGTTGCTCCATCAGTGGAATATTATTCAGTCCTAGAAAGGAAGGAAACTGACACATGCTACAGCATGGATGACCCTTGAAGGCATTATGCTAAGTTAAATAATATGATTCCACTTATATGAGGGACTTAGAATAGTCAAATTCATAGAGACAGAAAGTAGAACAGAGTTTACAGGGACTAAGGGGAGGGGGTTATGAGGAGTTACTGTTTAATGAGTACATTTCCTTTTGGGGTGATGAAAAAGTTCTGGAGATGGATGGTAGTAACGATTGCGTAACTTTGTGAATGTACTTAACGCCACTGAACTATACACTTAAAAATAGTGTGATAAAATTTTATCTTATCTATATTTAGCTACAGTGAATGATAATTTTTTTTTTTTTTTAATTTTAAAGCTCATTGGAGGCTCTGAGCTCATGTGTGGGGCTTACATGCTATGGAGTCAGCCATTTCTTTGGGGACCCCTCATTGTCAATTTCCTAAGATTTTCCTCTTGGACGAGTTGGATTCTCCAGGGAAAGACTTTCCAAACTCTTACATGAAGGATAGAGATAAACAGAGTGGGGGAAGAGGCCATAGGTCTTGGCAGTCAGTATGGAAACGTTTATTTAATCTTCCTCCAATCCGATTTAGTCCTCCTTTCATTAAGGTACCCCTGCCCCAAACTGTATCTGGTGTAACCCCTGTCTGGAGACCTTCTCTGTTACTCCTCTGGCGAATAGACCCTTAGGTTTCTGCTGTGTAAAGGAGGGCTACAAAGACATTTCAAGTCTTAAACAGATTTGTGACCAATCCTCCTGTTTTCACTCTGCACCTTAAGCCCTCCTTCTAGAGGTAACTGATGTCACCAATTTCTTTTCTTTTTTTTTTTTTTTCTGAATTCTGAACATTTATGTCCATTCTTTTTTTTTTTAACATCTTTATTGGGGTATAATTGCTTTACAATGGTGTGTTAGTTTCTGCTTTATAACAAAGTGGATCAGTTAAACATATACATATGTTCCCATATGTCTTCCCTCTTGCGTCTCCCTCCCTCCCACCCTCCCTATCCCACCCCTCCAGGCGGTCACAAAGCACCGAGCTGATCTCCCTGTGCTATGCGGCTGCTTCCCACTAGCTATCTGCCTTACGTTTGGTAGTGTATATATGTCCATGCCTCTCTCTCGCTTTGTCACAGCTCACCCTTCCCCCTCCCCATGTCCTCAAGTCCGTTCTCCAGTAGGTCTGTGTCTTTATTCCTGCTGATGTCACCAATTTCTGAAACTTTTGGGATTCTTCAGTGTCACCTGATCCCCTTGCTGGCTTAAGATTCATCTTTCTTAGGTTGGATAAGCCAGTTACCATTTGTTTATCTGCCTTCCAGCTTCTAAAACGTTATTACTATTTCCTTCTCTCTCATTACCTTTGTTCTCAGGGGCTTATGCAAGAAAAAAAAAAATCCTTTACCGTTGTTTTAGTGAAGCCTAGGACAGAGCAATAGTTAACATGTATGTTCAGTCCACTGTCTTTGCCGGTAAAACTTTTCTGTAGTGTTTACAACGCCACTTAAAAAACTGTTGTGGTTCCTTAGGCTCAATTAAAAGAAGGAAATCATCTGAAACAAAGAAAGTGGTGGTGGTCAGTGAACGCTGGAGTACTGTTTTCAGTTCCGGGAACAACCCTTAACACTAGAAAAACTGAAACTATTTAGATGACAGTGACTAGAATATTAATGGCACAATTGAAGGGATTAGGGAGGTTTTCAACAGAGAGTGGAAACTTCCAGCAGTTGACCTCAAATATTTGAAAGGCTGTTGTTCATTCATTCATTCATTCGATAAATGTTTAGTGAGTTCCTGCCGTGTGCCAGGAGGAAGTTTTCCAACATGGGAACACAGTAGTGAACATGACCGATTCTTAATTCTTGTGGAGCTTACATTCTAGTGGAGGGAAGAGTGATTTGCTCTGGATGGACCCACTGTAGAAACAGAACAAATGGATAAAATCCATCAGGAAATAAATTTCAAGTTAATATAAAGAAGAACTTTAAAGTGTTTGAGTTATTGAGGTGTGATGGACAACCTCTTCCATGCCCTCAGAAGGCTATGGAAACTAGGATATGTCCAATAAAAGCAGAGCAGAGAGGTTAAGTTGCACAGCCTCTAGTTGGAATCCCAACTCTACTCCTTGCTGACTGTTGACTTCGGTCAAATCACTTAACCTCTATGAACCTCTATTGTTTCATGTGTAAAATGCAGCTAATATAATATACCATGCAGGGTGTTGTGAAGATTAAATAAATTACTCTGTGTAAAGTGCTTGGAAAAGTATCTATAGTACAAAGTAAGGGCTACATAAGTGCTGCTAATATTATTTCTTTTTTTTTTTAACCAACTTTTTATTTTGAATAAATTTCAAACCTATAGAAAAGTTGCAAAAATATCTATATACTCTTTATCTAAATCCCCCGGCTGTTAACATTTACCTCCTTTGCTTTAACTCTCTGGTGTGGTTTGTTTGTTTGTTGCTGGAACATTTGAGTACCAGTTTAGCTGTCAGGACACTTCAACCCTACATACGTCTATTTATATGAGAATGAGGGCATTCTCCCACATAACCACGGTCTAATCATACAAAATATTATTGATACAATCCTCCTTTCTAATATGTAGTCCGTGTTCAGTTTTCCTCAGTTGTCCCCATATGTCCTTCCTGGCTTCTGAAAAAATCATAATCCAATCAAGGATCAGATGTCACACTTAATTGTTATATCTCTTCAGCCTCTTTAATCTAGAACCATTCACTGAAGTTTTTTGTCTTTTATGGCATTGGCATTTCTGAGGAATCTAGGCCATTTTTTTGTCTGTTGTATCTCAAATTGGATTTGTCTGATTCTTTCCTCATGATTAGATTCAAGTTTAACATTTCTGACAGAAATACTACACAAGTGTGTGGTTTTCTCACTACGTCACATCAGGAGGCAACGTCAGTTTACCCCATTTGGTTAAGGCGGTGCCTGCCACCTTCCCCTTGGTATTAATAAGTCACCTGTGATGTCATATTTGAGACTGTGAACGTCCTGTTCTCTGGACAGTTTCTCACCCAGTGATTTTAGCATCCACTGATGATTCTCTTATTATTCCACAATGGGCACGGCACAGTCAACAAGATGAACAGAGAAGATAACTGGTCCAGGGAAAAATTGCCATAGAGTGTAATGGGGGCTTCATAGCCGGTAGTTAGTCCCACTTAGTAGAAGAGACCATAACCTTTGATATAAATGCACATTTCTCTGACAATTGTTAGCTGAATGACACTGGGTAAAATTCTTTAAACCTAATACTCTGTAAAATGGGAATTATAATTTCCATATCCTGAGGTTCATTTGTGGATTGAATACAAAGGGACCGGATGATGATAAGGGTGATGATGAGGACGATGATGACAGATGCAGTATCACAGGATCAAGAGGATTAAATTATCAACTAACTTAGTGGCAGTTAGAGAAAGAAAGAATGAAATGGACACAAGAGGCAGGATGTAGGGAAAAGGCCTTGCTTCACAACTAATCAGATACGAGAAACGAAAGACACAGGGAAGCACAATGATTAAATATTGGTTGAATGCTTCCTATGTGCCAGCCATTCTCCAACTGGTACATTTAATCAAAGAGTGATGATGACTCTCAGATTTATGGAAATTATGGCCTTACCTCCTGGGTCTGGACAAATTACGAAGGGCAGAAGTCAGGAGAAGGAGATGAAGAGTTTGATCTTCTTCGTATGCCACCTGAATTGGTGGTGATACATCTAGTCTGAAATGTAATGCAGAGCTGGTCATCATCAACATTGGACTGTTTGCATAACAATCTCCTGAGAAACTTATTAAAATTGTAAATTTCTAAGCTAAGCTAACCCTTCAGAGATTCTGATTCTATATGTCTGGGGTGAGGTTTTAGCCCACCGTCAAGGTAGATAAAGTGTTACATGAGCCAAAGAAGTCAGCTCGGGGGTTGAAAGTCGATTTGAGTGTTATCAGATTATAGACAGTAATCGTATACTTGGGTGTGAGAGCATTGGCCTGAATCCTGGTTTATAATAAGAAGAATAAGGCAGCAAGGTCTTTTACAGATAAGTTGAGGCATTATGTGCACGTTCCTGAATTGACACAGGAGTAGCCAGAAAGTTCTGACGCCAACTCCGAGAGCTGCTCTTCAGATCCGTGCTGTCCCTAGGTGGCCGCTAGCCACACGTGATTCAACCAGAATTAGAGAAGCAAGAGTTGATGGACTTTTAAGACACACTTCTGAGTACTCAGGGTCATTAAACAACAACGACAACTTTTATTATGGAAAATATAAATTGAATTGAATTTACATTTAATTTTAAATGAATTATCTAGCCTATTGCAGGTGTTCAGTAACCACGTGTAACTAGTAGCTGTTAGATAGGACAGCACAGATGTGGAACATTTCCGCCACTGCAGAAAGTTCTATGGGACAGCACTGCTGAGGAAGTGTTGATAGCTTGCCAAAAGCCCACTCATAGTACAAAGTAGTTGTCACCGGCCTCACTCTAGAGGCTAGGAAAGACAATACTTAGTGAATAAAGGACGATTTTAGTTGGTCTTCTTGCCCACTGAAGGCAAAAAGACTGTAACAAGCAAGGAGGTATTTGATGAAATGAAGAAATGGCATCCACGTATGTTCATTCCCCTTCTTTGGTGTGGAAGGGCGAGACGGGAACTGAGCTTCTAAACTCCATGGCCCCAGGAGCAAAAGCTCCCTGTGACATCCTCAAGGGAGTGCTCTAGGGTCCACTGTCGGATTCTACTCTCCTCCTGGCCTTCCCCTTCTCCAGGCAGCCCCATTGCCACGACGGTTGGCAGTGCCCAGGTGTGACGCCAGGTAGCTGCACTTCCCCTCGGTGTGCGCTCTGCTGGTCTCCTCTCAGTGTAGTTTGCACTTCTCGCCCTTGCGTGCTGCAGTAGTTAGGTGCTGTTTTGTCCCCTGGAGGAAGCCCATATTGTTCTGTTCCTACCAGAGGAAAAACAAATGAAGAGCAACAAGGAAAAATATGGAGTGTAAGCACGTGTTTCCAGGCCATCAACATGCAAGCAAACATGCATGAAAATGAGTGTTAATTTCCTGCGTGATTCAGTGTTTGCAAGACTATCAAGTCATTTCCCATAGGCAGCCCAACAGCCATCACATGGTAATGAATTTCTATTACAGCCACGTATGATGGTTGAACCAGAAAACTAATGAGCAAAGAAATGAACAAAATAATAACAATGGTGATAACAGTAATGATGGTGTAATACTTAGCTGGCAAGGCATTTACGACTGGGGTCAATAGGGTAATGTAGTTATTTGGGGGCGGTGAGCACAGGTCTGATTTTCTCCTTTTAACATTTGTGGTTTCTGCTGCCTTTACATTTTTAAAAAATAAAAATTCTCAATGAAAATAGACCCAGCTGAATGATCAAAATGGAAACAAGTTGTATGGATAGTAGTTTGTGCTTTTCTTATGTTCTTCTTACTAGGTTTTAGAGGTCTTTTAAAATTTCCGTGGACTGTTCTGCAGAAATTAAAACAGAAAAAGACTCTAGCTTTTTCGAATTTTTGTGTTCAGTGTTGAATTATATCCTTCATTACCAATTTTCTCATTCATACGTATGTATCTTTGGGCTTTGCTTTAGTTATCTATAAAACTCAGGGTGGACTTGTGCTTTAACATGGACTGAACCATTTGAAAACAAGACTGTTTTAAAGATAAACAGGTATTTCAAAAATTCATTTTATCCTCCTTTAGAAATCACTATTATTTTCTTCTCACTTTTTCTTTCTCTCAGTTATCATCAGATATATTTTAATATCAGATTGAAAGGAGAATTGATCTGGGTTTTTTTTGTTCTTTGTTTTTTGCGGTACGCGGGCCTCTCACTGCTGTGGCCTCTCCCGTCGCAGAGCACAGGCTCCGGACGCGCAGGCTCAGCGTCCATGGCTCACGGGCCCAGCCGCTCCGCGACATGTGGGATCTTCCTGGACCGGGGCACGAACCCGTGTCCCCTGCATCGGCAGGCGGACTCTCAACCACTGTGCCACCAGGGAAGCCCCTGATCTGGTTTTTACAAGGTAAAAGTACATGATGAATTTAAAACATCTAGAGAGCAGCCCAAGATGGCCAACTTGGAGGATTGGGTGTCGGATGAGGAGAAGGTATGCATAGCTGCTATATTCATCACTCACGCACCCCCAGCGGAATTTAATGAAGTGTTCAACGATGTCCGGCTACTACTTAATAATGACGGTCTCCCCAGGGAAGGGGAAGCACATGTATTTGCCCAGTATAACATGGGTCAATTCATGCCTGTGAAGATAGAAGGATATGAAGATCAGTTCTTAATTACAGAACATGGTGACCTGGGTAATAGCAGATTTTTAGATCCAAGAAACAAAATTTCCTTTAAGTTTGATCACTTACGGAGAGAAGCAAGTGACTCTCAGCCAGAGGAAGTAGATGGAGGTCTGAATTCTTGGAGAGAATCCTGTGACAGTGCTTTAAGGGCCTATGTGAAAGATCATTATTCCAACGGCTTCTGTACTGTTCATGCTAAAACTATAGATGGGCAACAGACCGTTATTGAAGAAATGGCATCCATGTATGCCATATGTATTGAAAGCCACCAGTTTCAGCCTAACAACTTCTGGAATGGTCGTTGGAGATCAGAATGGAAGTTCACCATCACACCCTCTACAGCCCAAGTGGTTGGAGGACTTAAGATACAGGTTCACTGTTATGAAGATGGCAGTGTTCAGTTGGTTAGTCATAAAGATGTACAGGATTCAGTCACTGTTTTGAATGAAGTGCAAACTGCCAAGGAGTTTATTGAAAGCAGAGAGCATGCAGAAAGTGAGTATCAGACAGCAATTAGTGAAAACTATCAAACAATGTCAGACACCACGTTCAAGGCCTTGTGCCAGCAACTTCCAGTTACCTGCACCAAAATCAACTGGAACAAGATACTCAGCTACAAGATTGGCAAAGAAATGCAGAATGCTTAAAGGCTGAATATAGGATTCTTCAGTACATGGAAAGAAAGGAGTCAATGTGTGGTCATATGATAAATAAGTGATTTATATAAACAAAAGGGATACTTTTCTAGGGCTTTCAAAGTTAACAGGTTTTCTAGTCTCATGGAATACTGTTGAACTTATAGCATTGTCTAGATTCTTTTGTGTTTTCTGCCTTGTAATTTTCTATTTTCACTATATCTACTTGTAAATCTTTTTTTTTTTTTTTTAATTCTACCACATTTAATGATGGAGAGAGATATCTATCCTGGAGTCATTTTTCTACTTAGAAAATTTTCCTAGCCATGAAGCCCTGTTACTGACACAGACAGGTAATGTGTTCAGTGCTTTTCTACCCCATCCTTCACAGCACTTCTGGCACCTCACTGGTTTTTACTGATCAACCAACAGCTAAAGAGGCTGTGCTACAAACTATAGCTGAATGGAAGACACATTCATCCTTCTCCCTCCGATCGCTTTGATCATCATTTATAACATCTCATAACTATAGTTTCAAACGTTTGGATTGGGGCTTTTCAGGTCCTTTTTGGAGGCAAAGGAAGTTTTCTGGAAATTCCATTATAGCCAGCTTCTCTGGGGAAGTTATTTTTAAATCCAAAGACTTGGACCACATTCCCTACAAATGAATGTGTTTGCTGTTTTCCCTTCCCTCATCGTCTCCTTCCCATCTAGTACCATTATAGTGATAGACATGTGCATTTTTAGAAGAGTTTTACCCATTTATTATTATTTTTGTAATATTCAAAAACTGCTGACATACTAGGGATATAGTAGAGTATAAAACTTGAAAAAATGCAGATGTTGAAGGAATAATAGTTACCCTGTGCTTTAATACTTTATGGCAGGATTGTACTATAAGCGAATGAATCAAACAACTACGTTTGTTAACGTGGTTAACAGTCATAGTCAGACAGTATCTTTCTATTACAACCTGTTATTTAAGGGAAGACTAGTGATTTGTTCTAAATAGGATGTAAAACTTTTTCCAAATTAGTCTTCCCAGTCCTGCCTGCCAACTCAAATGTAACTGTGATAGAGCAACCCTTCCCAGGTTTATTGGCAGGTACAGGTGTGATCTCAGCATGCACAGGTAACATAGATACGACAGGACAATTGGTAATGGCGGATTCATTTACATTGTTTACACTTCGATGACCAGGCCTTAAGAGAAGGTCAGTTTTTTTAAAAACCAAGTAGTGTCTTCCTCCAAACACATGTCAAAAGAAGAGTCTGTGTTTCAGCTTTGTTTTTCCTCGGTAATACAGTCAAGCAAGCTTATTTCCCAGTGACCCGTTGATCTATGTAAGCATTTTTGTTTATTTCAAGTAAAATATACTTGTATTATTTGTCACATACTGTCCATCCATACCACACGATCCTCTGTATCAGGTAGTGAAAAAGAAATACACCTGTTTTGTTCTTTAAAAAATAATAATAATAAATAAAACTAAAAGAGAATTCTAAATAACGTAAATTGAGGTTAATGTTTCGTTAGGAATTTTTCTTGAAAAGTTGTGTCAGTTCATGCTCATTTTCTTTAATGGAGTGTTGTTAGTTATCTCATTTTAGGTAAATATTCTCTAGCAGGTTTCAGCCAGAACAAATATTTACAGTTAAGCCCTCAACTCCGGAAAATGGCTTTGCATGTGTGCTGGGGGGGGGTTAAATGCAAAGGCTGATTTTGTCTTCCTTTAGACACGCCGCCACACTAAATCATT